TCTGCATCCCACCTCCAACCACGTGCAGACAGTTTTAATGGTCCCAAAAGCTCCTCCTTTCGTGCTCTGAACAGCGAGCCCAGCCCTGCTTGCCAGACTCCTGCCCTGAAAGCCTGTGTGGCCACCGCGCTCCAAGCGTTGGTAGCGGAGCAGGGACAGGGGCTGCGCTCAGCCTGGCGCCTCCAGCTCCCCCTCTGCAGCTCCGGGCCCATCCATCCGGCTCCAGGGCTCTTTTCAGGAACACTGACTCCTCAAGCAGGGGCTCGGTGCTCCTGTCCACTCCGTGTGTCGCTCTCCATCTGCATCCGAAGGCAACGAGGCACCTTCCGTCAGCCGGGCGCCGCCTCAGCCCGCTGCAAGCACCGCTGCAACGAGCTCCTCAGCTGACAACCCGAAAAGCAGGCATGACAGAAGCACTGCCTTTTAACTAACGCTTCATAAATATATTCACTTCTCTTAGTGAATTATTTACCCCGGGCTCTGGCAGCAGCTTTCTCTGCTCAAAAGGGATATAGGAACTTAAAGTAACTTTGTGGAAGGTTGTCGGTATCCTTAAAACAATCCAACGTGCAACAATGTCCTGATGTGCAGTTCAATTCCATCTTCCTTGTCACTCCCTTATGTTCTGCTCCATGAGAGGAGAGGGCCAGAGGTCTAATGGGTCCTTCCATAAACTGCTTCATTTTTAATCTGGAAAAGAGGAGTCCAAAGAGTCCTTGAGGACTGCGGATACTGGAAATCCAGAACTCCAGAGAAGTGTCACACTCCCCACTTTAATTTTTACAGTCTATAGTTAAGGGAGAAGTATAGTATAGGCAAGGGAGAAGAGCAGAGGCACTTACGCTGGTCCACTTGAGCTTGGCTAGCTCTGCTAGCAGGGACACCCAGAGCAGCTCAGATCTGTTCCCTGCAGCTTGTTCCCAGCACCTCCCAAGCAGCTGGAAGGGGATGCAGCTCCACACACGCTGGCTGCTCCTCTCGTCCTTCCTCACTTCATCGTACTGGGCAGGAGGGAAGGGCTGGGCAAGACATTAAATTAATGAGGGTTGGTTTTATACCTACTGTTTGGGAAGGGCTGCAGTTAGCAGGATGGATGGAGCACAGTCTAACTAGGCTACAGGGAGAAGGAATCGAGCGCGCAGCAGCCCAGCCCCTAAGTTTATTCCTCTATAAAATGTCTCTTTATTAAAATACAATACTTTAATAACTACAATATAACATCAAGAGCAGCACATGGAGCAAACATCCTAAGCGGGAACCGTCTGGGAACATTTGCCAGAGACTACTCAATAACAGCAGCAATAATCACTCTGCCACAATCCTTAAAGCCAATAGTCCCTGCCTATAGCAGGGGATCTCGGGCTGTAACAGGCTGCAGTTAATCAGGTTACCTGCTTACCACGGAGCAGCCCAACGTCTGCTGCTGAGCTCCACCAAGCCCTGTCCTCATCATTCGCTTCCCTAATCCCTTCTGCAGGGACTCCCTGCAGCACTCGCCCCTAACACCATCTATTGCATTGAGATTGGGGAGCGGGGGAGAGGAAAACAGCTAGATAGCAAGTCTCTAAAGGGAGCGGTCTGTCATTACCAAAGACATAAACCCTTCAGGGGAAAAAACAACCAGGAGCCTCCTGAGCAGCGAAGTTTCAAATCCCCACAGCTCAGTCTAACCTAGGCATGGCTCAGTCTCAGTTTCCTCTGTGAGGAAAGAGAAATAACTGCTGGGGGAAGGAATCCTTGCCATCCCAAATCTCCCACGTTGGTGACATGGCCACCATGTTTGGCTCTTGGGTGTGCTCTGAGTAGTGTTGCTCAAGCACTCGTTTTATCCCTAACTCAAATCAAGGTCTCACCTTAAACAATCTGCTTTGTTTCTGGCTAAAGCCCTTTCTCCGTTGAGGTAGGGCAGGCTGGCTCCCCATCACACCCCTTGGGTGTCTTCCCTTGGAGCACCCAGGTTTCCAGAGGCAGCTCGGACACCAGCGGTAGGCGTGGATGGACAAAGCAGGGAGAGGAGATTTTGTGGTTGGACATGGGATAGGAGGTTGGTGTCATCAAACCCTCACACACTGCTGACTCCGAGAACAGGATCACTAAGCGCAGAGAAGCCCTTTAATTCACACCCCAAGCACTAAGTTCACACGCTGGCCCTCACCATGCGAGGCAGCAGTCAATTCTGCAGACAAGCGGGGAAGCCGTCGCTCTCGGGAAAGCTGCCACTGGATCCACCTCTCTGGAAGCCCTGGCCCTGCTCCCATCCCCTCTCCACCTGGAGATGCACATCCACCCTCTGTGCTCCTATTAGTCCTGACAGCAAAAACGCCTCTCCACGCCAGCCTTGTTTCCAGATGAGCTCTCTGGGTTCAGGAGCCCCAAAGAGCAGAACTCCATCTGCTTGGGCTCTCAGGCAGTTTGGCACTTGAGCTTTCGAGCTCCTCCTTCAGTGCTCTCCTTCTCAAGACTTGAGAGGCACCTCTCCATGCTAGTCCCCCATCCCAGGATGGAAAACACAAGAGGGATCCTCCCTACATCCAGCTGCATCTCCACAACCCTTGAACTGCCTTGATGTTTCTTTCCAATCCAGCTCCTGCTACTCGAGATTTTTCACCCAGGGACCGAGTGAAATGTTTCTTCCCCACGAGGTGGGAGCTTCGTTAGGCGACGCGCAGCTCGCGACGCGCGCAGGGCTCTGCAAAGAGGCTGCTGACATTTGATTATCGCTTAGACGGGGAGAAGGAAGAGCAGCAACTTTCAAAGGCAGGGCTGACACTGCTACAAACAGGAGCAGAAATGACCTTCACACACAGCTAGCTCGCTCTGCTGCCAAGAACCATCCTCTCAGCCACTGTCATCTTTATCTCCAGTACACCTGGGGCAGTGCAGTCTTACATCAGCCACTGCTGCTGCGAAATCCATGGGCTCTTCACCAGGCTGGGGAAAACGCTCTGTAAGGGGTGGTCCTGCAGGGGAGAGAGGCTGGAATGGTTTCATAGCTCAAACAGGAGGTTTGGTTTTTCAGGTAATGATGCAAAGCACGGGTCAGCTTCCCGGGCACAGGTAAACTGAATAACCCTCTATCTGTTTGGGAGGAAGATGTTTTTCAGCAAAGCAAACAGCTCCAGCATGAGCCCTGCTGCTCAGAGCCTTGCAGAGAGGGAACCACCTTCAGCATCACCGGGCTAAGCCCAAGCTGAGGGAAGAAAAGAGACAAATTGCAGCAGAAGAGCCCACGTCTGGTCATTTCACGTCAGAAAAGTTCAGGAGACTAGAAACACAGACCAAAATCTTCCATCGGGGTCTTGTCTAAGCTCTCTCTCCAACACAAGAGCTCAGACCCATGTCCCAGCACACCCAGGTTTAACTTAGAGCCCTGGTTTTGGAGACAGGACATGATGGGTGGTGTGAGAACGTGCAGGAAGGCAGCTTGTAAGTCCGAACAGCGCCGGATCCATCCTTAGCCCGGGATCTGCAGTGGAGACCGTTAGAGTGTTCCCTGCATCACAGGGCTTCTGATAAATAGTCCTTCCTAACAAATCTATCCCTCACTGTACACATACGGAATCCATTGCTCTAAGTTGCCACTGAGGTACTGCCAGAGTCATTAACTATCATTATCTGGGGCAGCTGGTCCCCAGTGGGCTGATGCAGGAATCAATCAGGCTAAAGCCTGAATTTCCCTTGTGCTTCTCCAAATGCTGCTTTTGTCCCTCTCCATCAAGTGACAAAAAAGAGGCAGTTTGCCTTTATGGCAAGGTTTAGCAAACTTACACTGGAGAGAGAGGGCTAAAAGGAAAGCAGTGGAGGACCTGACAGGCACCAGGTTGTCACAGAGATGGGATGAGATCTGACTGATGTCTCTGCCGGGAAGGAGGAGGGCCAGGTGTTTGGAAGCGGGCCAAGGAGCTGAGAAGAGATTACTTTTTACTTACTTTAATATCCCTAAATGAGATAACCTCTTTCTCTGAAGAACATGGGGGCTTTCAAGCCTTTCATGTGCTCAAACAAATTGGAGAAATCCACTTTCAAGATTTTCACATCATCCAAGGTCAGCAGTCGTTAACTCAAACTGCTCAGTATCTGAGGCTCTAGGGCTTAAAATCCAACCTCATTTTCTTGGGTGACAAGTGCTTAACCCCATCTCAAATATTCTTGGGATCAGAGAATCTCTCTTCCTTCACAGTGACCGGCAGCCATTTCCAAAGAGAACCAGGGCCTTCCAACTTGCACAAAGTTACATCTTCCCCAACGGAGGTCAGGTCAACTAAGCTCATGTGTGGTGGTGGGAAACAGTCTGAGAATCATCTCTTCCCCCTTTTGCAGGTCAGTGATAAGCATAAGCAGCACTAACCTATGCTAGAATGATGCAGACCCTTCAAACAGGAGACTTCTACTCTGCTGAAATGCTGCTAGTGCTGTAGTAGCCCAACATCAGCTCTCCTGTTTGGGTTACACACCGTTAGGTGAACCTCAACACAGGCCTTCATAAGACACACTTGCACCTCTCAGCCTTGAGCCTTTAATGCAGCATATCCTGTGCTAAAGCAAGACTCAGGGAAAAATGCAAGAGGTGATAAAACAAGGGAGGAAAAAAAATCTTAGAGAAGCCTCTTTTGTTCTTAGATCAAAACCAAGGTTTTTCAAAACCTGTTGTTCATATGCTGAGATTTGCTGCAGAACAGCAACTAGTGGTTAATGTATTTAGACCAGGCAAAGGACACCAATCTGAAACTCCTCCCTCTCTCACACATAAATGAAGCTAAAGTTGTATCTGCCACAGCAAGTCTGATCAAGAAGAGTGCTAGTTTCACTGAGAAATTTCATCCCAGAAAAAACAAACACATCTTTCCTGATCAAAGATTTATCAGGCCTGGCCAATCCTCCTTGAAGAGGTTGTTTTGACAAGCATGTTTCCAAACAGAAAGAGTCTTGCCAAAAAGATTCATCAATAGCATGACTCAGTTCCATCTACAGCAAAGAGGTGGGGGCTTGCCAAGACTCACCTATCCATCTCATCAGGGAGGTCATAATTTGTAGATACTTTGTCTTCTGCACATTGAAGAAGGTGAAAGGACCCAGAAGAAGAGTGAACACTGCCTGGAAGGACAACAAAAACATACATTAAAGAACAGAAGTCCTGCCATTAAGACAAATTATTAATAAAGTTAAGCTTGCCTTGAAATTTCCCTTCTGGACACATCTGTTTGTCACTTTGCTTGCTTTGTTGCTGAATTTTACAGCTGGTTTGGCCGAGGCACAAGGGGGTCAAGCAAGTTGCTCGGTATCAGAGAACAAGCCCCGGGCAGAAGCAGAGAGCAGGATCCTCCTGGCTCCGAGCCGCTCGCTGTCACTGCTGCGGCTCGCCGCTACTGACACGTTTCTGTACGAGCTCTCAGTGCAGTTTTACAGAACATTAAATATTTAACGGTGGCATCTTTGTCCAGTACATGCTCAATTTAGGGCTGGATGGCAGTAACTGTGACCAGTCTGCTTGCATTAACATCGATGGGTGAGATTTGAGGTGTTCTAGGCTGAATGATGATGGAAACGGGGCTCTCCGGGCCATTTTTTTTCAAGCTTTAAGTTGCATCTTTTATGGGAGGAAGTTTACACCACAGCAGTTAAGCTACTAACCGGGAAGCTGAAACGTTTTGCAAAGCAAAGAAGAGCAAAGAGCAACTCCCTTGTTTAACATGAACCTTATTCAACGTGGAAATCAAAGATCCTCTCAACTATGGCAGTTCCCTCCTCACCGTCCTCTCTTGGACATCTGTTTAGAGACCGATGGGTGATGGTCTCCATGCAGCACCATTACCCTGGGGGGCTGCAGCATCGCTCCAAAGTCCTAGTTAGTGCAAGTGGAGAAGAGGAAGAACTTTCCTCCATGAAGACGCTAGACCTTGACTGAAATCCGGATGAGGATGGAGAGAAACCAGTAGGACACTGCTCTGGTGAGGTTACCTGCACTGGGGAGACAGCGTTACTGAACAGAGCTCTCCCCGTGACCAAGGGCACAGCACAGGTTGACAGCTCCTACCATCATGGACTACACTAGCAGATCCCATCAGTGAGACAGCAGCATCCAGAAGACCACAGCACATGCACAGATTTGTTCAACATCCCAAAGGGATTTTAAAGACAAATATTAAACATTAATATTTACACATTGCTCTTTTCGATGACATCTTAAAGTAGTTCCCCCAAAAAGGTGTCACCAGAAGGGAAGAAGGGAGACTCAAAAGGGCAGGCCACAGAGCCTCAAGGTCTCCGTCGACGCCGGCGCGCGCGGTGACAGCACGGAATCCAAGCTATTTTAAGATCAGTCCAACCCCAAGAAACCTTTCTTCGAGACGGTCTCAGAACATCTGCAAGGCAAATTGGAAACTCCTCGCGTCACAAGTATTCTCAGACGACCAAGATAAGATCAAGATAAAACCAGAGAGGGGACCAGAGGAACAAACCCTTGGCTCCACATGTCACTTGGTCAAGACGTGTTCTGACCCGGGGCCATCATTTGCTTCCAACTTTGTTTTTTTCTACTTGCAAAAGAAGGACGGGGAGTGTACAGAGAATTCCAATTTGTGAAGCAATTCGGGATCCTTGGAGTAAACTCTGAAACCACCAAGAAAATACCACATCCCAGGCATAACTGACAAAACTAAGAGCTAAAACAGCCTTAACCATTAAGACACAGTTTTAATACAGAAGCAAAACAACCAGCTGCAAGTTGTCATTGTTGTCTTCTCTTCCTCCACGTTTTCATCCTTTAGGGTTTGCGCACAGATTGCTGTTATGTTCTAGGACAGGCACAGACCCTAAAGGACCATAAAGGATGCACAGACCCTAAAGGATTCCCCTTCTGAATAAAAAGACAGGTGAAGGTCAAAGACTCAGAGCAAACCAAAGCAGAACCAACTCTACAGCTGGAAATTATACTCAAGTTTGTAAGAAGCTCCTGGAATTGGTCTGATGGAACCAAGCGTGAGATGACTTCAAGTGCAACAGAAACACATATTACCCTTTCCACTCAATGCCCGTTAATGAACCAAGATGGGTATCCAAAGATCAATAGGAATGATGCTAAGGCCTGGAATGGGATGAGGCTGCACTGCTTTGCAGAGATTGGTGCCAATCATTTAAGAAGGGAGGCCATGGTACACACTGCACTGCTCGAAAGGAGCAAGGCAGAGCGTAAGAGGACATCAGACAGCAAGATTCACGTCATTTTGAGGTGGAATTGTGCAGAGCTCCACAGGAGCCAGCACAGGACAGGAAAGAGGAGTCAATTCCTCACCATCTGCCAAGAGGAGAGGGGCGACAGCTCAGTCCCTTGATGAGAGCTGATCTTACAAATCCTCAGAGGCTTCCTGAGGCCAGGCAGCCTAACTGAAAATGCAGCCAAAAAGGGTAAGAAAAGACTACGATGCTTAGAAGGAAGGTACCTACTGTCCCTGCCTCGCCATCAGGCACCCAACCGCCCTTCCTACTCTGGATTTAGTTTCACAATTTCTCCCCAGGGAAAAAAAAAACAGGTCCCAAAAAGCACATGGGATAAACACACCCCCAAACCTCTGACTGCTGCTTCCTAAGCTCAGGTTTTCCCCAGTGGGATACATTTACAAACTGTGCTTCATTACATGGGCAATTCAAACAACCTGAAACCCGTGCCAGTTTGTCTTGTCGAACCTCAAACACACAGAGCTCTTGCAGATGGAGAGTTTTCCAGCTCACCACTTGATCTAGCTTAAAATACTTCCTAGGAGTTTATCATTCACTTCCTAAGCCCCCGCACATTAACCCAAGGCAGAACGAAGAGTGTAGCTCAATTAAAGATGTGCCCATCACTGAGTCGGTTTTCAAGTAGGTGTATGAGGCTGATTTATTCATTTATTAATTTAAACGAGGCAAAAGAATCCTTCCTTTGGCTATGGAGCAGCATGAGCTCTACCGAGCACTGTTTACATTCACAGGAGGGAGGGAGGGACACCTTGACTATTCCTGCACAGGGTTGCCTATAAGGGACATTCCCTCATTTCTCTCCCAACCTCCTCCGTTCCAAGGGAAAGGCCAGACACATCCCAGGCCGTTTGCAGCAGGAAATCCATACAGAGCAACATACAACCACGACAGATGCAAAAAGCTTTACCTGGCCTCCCACCTTCCTTTCTCAGGCAGAGAACGCAGCGCGTCACTGTCTGAAAAGAGCAGCGGTTTTGTGGCTTTTACCGAAAACTATGTTTCCAGACATTAAAAAACCCACAGAAGCTGATGAGCACGGAGAGCACAGCAGCAGCTTGTCAGCCTGAATTACACTCCACCTGGCAGGCTGGCAGGAGCCACAAGCAGCAGCCCAGCTGGCTCAACCCGGGCAGGGTCTTCCAACCCGCTCCCCTCCGAAAACGGAAGGCAGGAGGCAGCACAGGGGCCGGGAAGGCAGCGCGGGAGCCGGGAAGGCAGCACGGGAGCCAGGCGCTCCCGGCCTCCCTACCTGTCAGCTCGTGGCATCTCAAAGCCGAGCGCCGCCCGAGTCTTCTCGCCCCGGGGAATCCAGCTGGGCCGCACCAGAAATACGGCTCTGGAAGGATCCTTTATTAAAGCTCTTATGTTAAAACTTGGTTACGTAACTTGGTTTATTGGTTTATCTCTAAAAACAAGAGTGAGAGCGAGTGTTATTAGGACATCTGGCTGGTTTTATCAGCTTAGGTTCAGCCAGGACTACCAAGAGAGCTCTCAGCTCCTCGGTCATGGTCACCTAAAGCCAAGGGTAATTCTGGCCATATAAATATGCTTTATGCCAAAGTAAGAGGGTTGTGTTGACTAAGCAGGCTCTTTATTGACCTGAAGGTACTTAAATCACTCTGGACCAGTACAGTTCAATAGCCTTCATCTGCTTCCCAGCATGTGGCTTTTATAAAAACCACCACCACCAACAACAAATTCAGCTCAGTACAATTATCATCCCAACCCCAATCATCCCAAAAGTACAATTATCATCCCAAACTTTGTTGATTTGTGTACTAGATGTAGTAACTACAGCCTTATGGCTGAAACCTGCATATATTTGCAAGAGAACCAACTGAAAAATGGCTTCATTCATAACTGCCACTAGAACTTGCTCATTTTCAGGCTCCACAAACCCACCTACCAGAACGACATCTGCATTTGGTGCTCACTGAACAGTGAACCTACCATTTCTTGTTGATTTAGAGCCTGGAAGCTCTCTCAGCCAGACCGAGTAGAAATAGGGTATTTGCAGGAAGCAAATGAGACAACAAAGAATAATTTTATTCAATGGAGCAGCCACCCAAGAGTAGAGCAAAAATGAGAGTGTAAGATTATTCAGACAAATCCATTCAAGCAGTGGAAAGCCCTATCAACATAGACTCATCAAGGCTCAAACATCAGGCCAAGGATCCCTCAGTCTAATACGAAGAGAAATTATAGTGTTCTCTCCTTAAATGTTGCTTTTGAGGCTGTGTTTCCAGCTACCCCTTCCCTTTCTCCTGCCAGCCTTCCAAAGCCACCACACCAGGGCTCATCTCCCAGATGGACCTTCCTTGGAAGTCCTCAGTTGACCTTGAGAGAAGTGCCAGCCTCTCACACAGACTTTATTTCAGGACAATATCAACTCTGCCTCTCTCAGCCCCACAGCCCTTGCCCTGCTAAAGAAAAAATAAAAAGAGTACTACAAATGGCTTAGCTCTAATGAGCAGCAAGCTGACAATTAAATAGGAAGAGTCACCGGTTCAATACAAGGGATGACTCAGGTAGACTTGGCCATCTTGGCTGGAAAGCTCCGAGTTGAGTGTTCACAAAGGTCCAGGATTACAGGTTTGGAGCATTCCTAGCAAGGCAAGGCTTGACAGGCAGATCTAATGAACTAGCCTCTCCAGGAGGAAGCTCGCTCTTTGATTCACTGTTTGGAAGCAAGGAAAGTCTCCTTGAGCACTAGGAAAAAGCAGACATTTCAGACACGCTGTCAGGAGCGGCAGTTCTGACACCAGCTCTGCTTCTGCAAGATGTCCCCGAGCTCGGAGCCCCTTCACACTGCAGATGAGTGCTGGAAGGGACGGAGAAAACACAAAAAAAGCAAAGCC